TGAATTTCTATCCTGTAAATTTTAAGAGGTGTGTAAAGGTCTGTATTCATCTGAATGCGCAACGCAGAAATTGCCCTTTGTGATTTGGTCAATTTATTACCTAGTATTTTATGGTAATTATTAAGTTATTAAAGTTTGCCGACTAATGAGGCATAACGGGCGATTGCGGACCTTCAATTGGAATGACCTCGAAGCCGATTATTATTTACTCCTTTTCCAACAGTTTATTGAGTCTGAACTCTAATAAATATTACATGAAAAATTCGTGTAACAGTAAACTTAAATTCAACAGTAAATAAATATAAAAACTTTATTTGGATGATGGAGGCCTATTGCAAACGGAATGCTTGATGAATAAAGTTAAATTTAAAATACAAAAATAGAGACTAAGACTCAATCTACTTTCACCAAACAAACAAACAAACAAATAAACAAACAAATCAGCAAAAAGCGAAGATAAAAATTAAAAATGAAAAACGAGAGCCAAGCTCTAGTATGAGGTATTATTTATCTAATGTTATTTATATATTTATTTATATTTGGGTTGTAGTCGCAGTAAGGAGATATTGTGTGGTTTTAACGGTTGTAGGAGGTCCTTTTCTTTCAGAGTTCACTAGGTTAAATGTCGTTTGGGTTGCGGTTATTTTTGTTGCTCTATCCAAATAAATATCATTATTGTTTGTTATAAATTGTAAATATTTTATACGTGAAACTCACTCCCATAATCCCTCATTTTGGAAGGTTTTATGAGAGATAATTTATAAAAAAATAAACGGGAGCCTTCCGGGTTTTTGACCTGAGTTCAAACGTAACTTAGTGCCTTTTATTTACTGTATTTATTATTTCCCTTTTTAATACTTTCCCTATGAATACAACACCTCACAAGTACCTTGGGTTACTAAATTAATGAGCTTTATTACCGTAAGTATTTATTTTATTTATTTGTCGTAATTTAATATAACATTTGCCGTGGTGTTATATTTCATTTATCACTTGGGGTGTAACTTTTTACAGATTCTTTGCTGGGGGGGGTGTGAACGCTTACAACCTTAAATCTTAATACTCTAATGTATCAAAATTTTTTTTCAAATATAGCGTCATTAGGGTCCTTGTCCACTGTGTTCCAGAAAATTCCATCAAGCCCTCTCCTCGCCACTGCTAAAATTCACATTTATGTCTGTTAGGTATACCTTGTCATTTAACTGTGTACAAATTTGGACACCATAATTAAAAGAAGGAAAAGTATTTCTAAAACCAAAGGCCAAGCTTTACAAATTTTTTTTTTCATTTCAAAAACTAAAATACCAGTACCTACAATACAAAAAGAAAATTAAAATGTGAAAACAAAACAACTACCTACATATTAATATTGGGACCTACAAAACAATATTTGACAATTGTTCATTTGCGTTCCATTACAGGGATCGCTTTTAGTTTTCGTGTCCCGTAAAATTACCAACTCCAACGTTAGGTCCAATATAACCAATCAATAAGTACGTCTTGTTGCACACTGTCAGTTTTTATTGGGATTTAAAAGGTTCGATCAGAAGGTGTGTTGGTCCAATTCTAGTTTTCATATTCTGTTGTTACCAAGACATAGCTAGGTAATCGTCGGGTTAGAAATAGGGATGCGCAAAATTTGAAATAAGGATAGCACAAAAACAAAGTGGATTTTGTCATTGGGGGGCTAGTGAGTAGACCGCGCAGACGTCTACTATTTAGTAATTTTTTGGAATGCCGTGGGGTGAATGAAAGGGTGTGCAAAATTTTAAATGAGGTGTGCAAAATTTAAGGATCAGGGTAGCACAAAAACAAAGTGGGCTAGGGAAAAAATGTTGGGACCCCGTGAGGAATAAAATAGGGGTGTTCAGAATTTAAAATGGGGTGTGTTAAATTAAAAGAGATTATGATGCCGAAAAGTAGAGTCCGTCGAAGCAAGGGGTGGGGCAAGCCTCAAGTAGCCGCCCCAAACCAAATACCATAGCACAACTGTTACTTATGTTGCTATATCAACTACAACTTAATCCCATGTAATTACCTAACTGTGCGATTTTTCAATATTGCACTATGCGTAAAGTGACGTTTACTTATGTTGTTAGTGGTTAAAAATTTTGCGTTTTACATATGTAGTGGTAGTAGATAATAGTAGTTTACATAACAAGAGTGGTAAATATTTTACGCACAAGCGGAATTCCGCAAAATTCCACTCGAGGAATGTACACTACTTTATCTACTGTAGACACAACATCTTTAACTTTTTTTGTCAAAATGTTAGAGAAATATTAATCAAAATTTATGGTGTGAAAATATCTAAAATATCGGAAAATATATATTGAAGATATTTGAGAGTAAAGTTTTTTAGAATGGATGGGTATAAATGGTTATTGAATAGTACATTCCCAGGTAGCACACTGACGTCTGCTGACGTTTATATGACGTTGAAATGACGTTGCTAACGTCATTTAAAGGTCAGAAGACGTCATATAAACGTCAGCAAACGTCAGTGTGCTACCTGGGTTCTGTAACGTGTTTGGAATACGGCCTATTCCGCTCGAGTGAAAAGTTATTCACTCGAGCCAAAGGCGAGTTTGAAGACTTCACGAGAGCGGAATATGCAATTTCAAATGTGTTTCATACTATAATACTTTTTCCAAAAAATAACACATAAAAATAATTTAATTGTTAAAAAGTTAGATTGGATCGGTCTAAAAGTTGTAAGATAATAAACACAGAGATGTAGCCACCAGCCGTCATATTCCGTAATAGGAGTACAGAAAAAAAGATTATATAATGGAAAAATTAATACAAATTAATACAGACTACAGACTAAGCGGTATCAATTCTTAAGAACTATTTTGCTAGCTGTAACATAGTGAAAAATAAATTAATAAAGAAATATTTATATATGAATAAATATAATATATTTTTTAAATTGTATCTTCACTTGTCTATGTTTCAGAAAGTAACTTGGAGTATCATCTTTCGAAAAGATTTTCCAAGCTAATTATTATGGGCGTAAGAATGATATAGACGAGAATTTTAAATTGTTCGTGTAGTTAAACTTAGTAATCGTTTCAGAACATATTAAAAATGATTCTATAATGTTTTATTTATTCTACACAAAACTGATCGCTCAATAAAGAAAAATTTATGATTATTAACAAACTTTTTATTTCATTAGAAAATTGTGTTAAATCTTTTTGCATTAATAAATATTTTTATAAAACAAATTAAACCCTTATAAAATTATAGTTTTCTAAAACTATTTAGCAAAAAACTTGTAATTTCTTTGTTTACATAAAATAACCTGCATTAAAACGTGGTGCGCCATTTTCCAAACACCCTGTATGTTCATATATTGGCATTAATATTTTAATTTTTAATTAAAATGAACAAGTACTCTGATGAGGCGAGTTGCACCGGCTCACAAAAAGAAATCCCATTTATCGGTTAATTAAGAATCCAAAATTTTTGACTTAGACGAAAATATAGAGTAAAACGATTTTAAGTAACATTGAGAAAAATATTAAAATAGTAATTGCTTATTAAAAACAATGTTTTTGTTATATAAGTATATTTTTAAAAATATTTTGAAAAAATTTTAGTACCAATATTGCAATATTGGCCATGGGCTTTACAAAAACCAATTGTTTTCTTATTATCCTGCAAATTTGTTCCAGCAGTTTTTTTTTCAAATTTCTTTTTTTTTAAGTTGCTTCTGTTTGGCATTTTTTTATATATAAGTATACTTTATAAAAGGAAGCTACTGTTTTATACAGAAAAATAGAATATTTGGTTTAAATAAATAAAATAGTCGATTTCATTTTAAAAGCACTCTGACGAGTTGCAGCCTGTATAATCGTAAAGACGCGCTATCTAATCATATCATCTTACATAGGATATCATCAACAAGCTGCAACTTGTTTAGAAAAATAATTTAAACCTTCTTAAAAGCTCGCCAAAATATAATATCTTGCATACATATTGAAATAAAATTATTTACCCTTCAGAAAGTTTTTTCCCTTAATATTTTTATACAAAAAATAGCTTATCTTAAAAAGAAAAAATAGGTCGATGCTTTTGTAAATCATACAGCAGTTTTCATAATACAGTTCGGATTTATGTGTTTCTCTTTACCCAATGAACGCTTCCGCGTCATAAATACATACAGCTTTTCCATATTTACATGAAAAACAAATAAGTTTGCATTTTTATCAAGAAAAAATCTGATAAAAGTATACATTTTTCCATTGTGCACGCATACCGCACCTTTATTTATTATTTTTATTTAAAACACAAAATAATGGTTTGGTTAATGTTTGAAGTATACTTTTAAATAGTTTTAATATTCTTTTTTCGACCAATTAAAACTATTTTTGCCGAATCATAATTGAAGGGGTGAGTGGATAAAGGGGTTAAGTAACATATTAATAATAAAGGACAACAAATATTGTAATTGTAATACCTACCAAATTTATTTTTATTTACAAGCACAATATTGTTTGTTTTTTTTTTTACTTAAATACATTGTATCATGACACATGTCAAAAAATATTGTAATTACAGCACCAAATGTAGTTTTAATTACAATTACAATTTTTTTGTTCTTTATTATTGAAAATGTTACCCTTTTATCAAATTACCCCTTCAATTGCTATCCTGATAAATTTAAAAACATACGGTTTTAGTAGAAATGTAGCTTTACCAGGAATTACCCAAAAATCTAAAAACTGCCCATTTTCGGTATTTTTTTTTCAGTTGACCTGAAGAGAACTTATAACGTCGTCCAGCTACGAACTATGACTGCGCGCTGCATAACGGTCACGGCCCTTATATTTTAATAAAATTAATTATAAATTAAAGTGTAACTTCCAGAAATACATATGAACAGATGTGCTTAATTTGATTTATATTGCTTTAACAGTTTCTCCATAAAAAATCCCAAAAAACATATTTTAACAAAATGAGTACTCCGTAATAATAATAATAAAAGACCCAAATAGATATCTAATCTTTACTCGAGATACAAAAGTAGAAAAATATGAAACAGCATATTCATTATTAAAAAAAATATTAAATTAAATAGAACATTAGTACGTAATATTAATATCAACATTGGGAATTCTTACTGCTTAAACTACTAGTCAAGGAAGACAGCTCATCTTCTAACTGGGCGACTCTTTCGCGTAATAATGCGTTTTCTTCTTGAAGATACAACTCGTGGTGTGTCATCGTATTTCCATTTAGACTATCTTTTATGGCGTTACAGTGATTTTCGACTTTAATAAACTCTTTTATCATGGACATTTGCAGGTTTAAATTTACTCTTCTTAGCTCGGATGCATTGGACATAATTTGATATTTTATATCTTGAGTGATTTTTTCCTGTGCCTTTGTTATTTCTTCCTGTATCATAGTTCTTATACTTGATATGGCAATGTTGTTATCTAAATTAGACTTACTTATAACAGGTGATAATCGGTGGCCTGGTGTCTCCAATTGTTTTTGCGTTGCTGATATAGGAGTGGAAAACGAAAGTCTTTTTGAGTCTCCTAAACCTAACCTTTCATGTATAAGTTTATTTGGATTTTTTGGGGATTCTATCACGATGGATTTATTACTATCAAGCCACTTTTTAACGCTATCACTTATTTGTAAGACCGGTGGTGGATTTGCAGCTTTAATGGACTCATCTTTGCTTTGTTCTATACCCAAGGCATCCAAAAAAGAATCGCCTATGCCATTTGAGTCACCTTCACATTTAACACTGGTATCAGGTTCATGCACACCCTGATCTATAAACATACCGAAGCTATCATTAGTTACGTTGTTTTGCTCTTCCCGTTTAATTAACGGGCTATTTTTTATGGTGACATTGCTGCAAATGCTCGAATCGTGCTCGCTTTGGGGCTGAATATACAAATGCTTTATGGCTTTGTTGGGAAATGAATCGAATACATCGCTGGGTTGTTGTATGTTTCTTGTGTCGTACACAAGAATTTTACCGTTTTGCGAACCAACAACAAAATGAAGTCCATCTGCTGAGAAATCCACAGCCGTTATGTTGTTGTCGACAGGGATTCTCGCAATGCGTTTATTGCTATCAATATCGTATAAGTTGAACTGCCTATCTAGACCTGTTGATATAATTAGATCGGAGTTAACAGGTGAGAAAGCAAGCGACGTTACAGGTGCCTTATGGGCATCTATGGTGAATTTCGTTTTTGATGCATTGATATCCCAACAAACAACAACGCCCTCACTGCTACCGCCCAACACTAAATGTCTTTTTTGTGCACTTGTTCTTATAGTCGATACAGTGGTTGATCTGGGTACTCTAAAAGTGCCAGATAGATTGTTTGATGTATTGCTATACAACAACACTTCACCGTTAATACATGAGGCTACAACGTGAGAGTCTTTCGCAGTGAATGCTATCTGCGTTATCGCCGAAGAACCACGCGGAAATCTCTTCTTCACATGCCTAGCTTTAATATCGTACACCAAAGCTAGACCGCTTTTAGTCCCCAACCCCAGAAGCTTCTTGGTTTCATGTTGAAACGCCGAACAGGTCGGCTGTTCCACCTCCAAAACGGTATGAATCAGCTTCAACTGCCCTTTGATGCTGATTATTTCGCTGTGGCCGGTGTGCGGAATCAGGGCCAGCCAGTTTCCTCCTTTAGCCCAGGATATGCTTTTCACTGAACCTTTATCCTTGCCGCCAGGTTGGTAGTGATGCGCCAGGTTTCCATCCGGAAAACGGTGGAACTTTACCTCGTCGCAAGCTGAAGCGATATACATTGTACTGAAAGAAACATTTCTATTATTTTTTAGATTAGGTCATTAAATGTTAATCGATTTTAAATTAAATATAGCATTAACAATAACGCAATAACACAATAATGGAAAAGATTTATATGCATATTATGTATAGGCTAGAAATGTCTAAGTTAAATTTTTTACAAAAATTAATTACCGAAAAATTAATTTCTGCAAGATGCATTATTTTTTTTTTTCTTAATTTCTTTAATAACTCCTTAACCTGTACAAGTTATTGAAGTAAACGTTTTTTATAGGATTTTTTTTGCATAGTATTGCATTTTCTTAATAAAATAAAAAATGTACCACTATTTCCAGAATTTTTTTTATCTTGGCTCTAGGAGCTGATAAATAAATTATTAAACTTTCATGTGACTAAAAACTGGGCGTTTTGTAAAAACAACAGATGTCACATATCAAAAATGACAGATGGCACATATCAAAAATGACAAAGGACAAATGTCAAAAAAGCTAGACCGGATGTCAAAAATGAGTCATATGAAACAGAAACACGAAACAAAATGAGCTGTCAATATTTACATTTTTAATTTTTGACATCTGTTATAGCTTAATTGTGAAATCTGTCACTTGTTATTTTTGACATCTGTCACCTGTCAGTTTTGACGTGTTATCTGTCGTTTAAAAAAACGTTTTTCACATTTAAGTTAAATAGTTTTTCTAGGTCCTAAGCAGAAAAACAATATGACATTTTTTCTGGTGGTATACCATCTTTAAGAAATATAAAAGTTTAAAACATGTGGTACTAAACAAACATGTAAAAAAAGTATCGATTTTGAAGCAAATGCAATGTTCATGCAAAGATATATGGAGAATTCCACGTGAAGTCGACAGTAAAAAAAACCCTTGTTATTTCGAAATTTCTTGACTATTTTTCCATGGGTTCCCTGACTTAAAATAAAAATTTTGATGCCGTGGCATATCAGCACACTATGATTTTTTTCGTCGAAAAGTAAAAATCCTTTTTCCACACTGTTTGTATTGTTTTTTTAATTTTTTTTTGTTTTTAATCTTTAAGCGAATACTAACTTTTTTGTATTAGATCGTGGCTATAAAAAATTGATAATTTTTTCGGAATTTTTTTCACTTTCAGACATTTTGTAATATCAAAAATGATTTTTTTTTATTTAATCTTTTTATATTTAGCCATTTTAACTATTAAAATTGTTAAAACAAAAATTATCATTATTAATAATTATTTTAAGATTAAAAATCAATTAATCAATCATTTTACTATACAGTTTGTCCACGGATAGAGGGCCCAAGTGAACAAATGAACTTAAATGTTCATTTTCGAGTAAAAGTCATTTTTTATAAAGCATATTTGCTTTAAACTACTACTTTAAAAAACTGATATTTTATCTTGATATATTTTAAATAGTTTGAAATATTTTTTACACGGAATTTGACTGTGTCACTCTGACATTTTGTGTTACACATAGGTAAAGGATACGTGAAATGGGTTACAAAAGTATAAATTAAAAATTGAATTTTAAATCTTTAAAAGGAAGAAAGTTTGGAATACTGAGTTGAGATTTTACAATTAGTCTTTGGATATATCCTATAGAATTTGAAATCTTTTTTATTTATCACTTTGCGTTAAAACGAAAAATAAAGGTTGTTTACTCCTGATAGTATTTCATGTTTTCTTGTTTAAAGTATGGCAATAGAATTTTTAAAACAATCAGAACTTTTTATCATGACTTTTGATCGAAAAATGAAATTTTTAGTTAATTTGTCATCTTGGGCCCTCTATCCGTGGACATACTGTATATTCATAGGCAGTACCCCAAGCAGCATTTTTGGTTCCAAAAACCATTGCCAAAGTGGTGATAACTTTAAATTAGTTAAGTATACTAAACAGCTACTTTAATTTTTACTTAAAAGTAATTCTAACTTTTAAATAGCAATATTTTGTAACAGAAACTTAATTTTTCCTTAAATTGTTACTATAAAGTAATAAACATTTAAGTAAAACTTGGTTGCCCCCAAGAAGACTTTGCAACTTTAAAAAAGATGTTATAAGTAGGAAAAACTTTCAAGTAAATTTAATTTGTAGCAGTTACTTTCGGTTGCTACCTAAATATTACAATATAATTATTTTTACTTTGTAGTCCCTTTGCAAGTTAAAATCTCGAAACTGGAACATGAGTTAAAAACTACAAAGTTAATAACTTAAAAGTTATTATTTTAGTATTTGGAACGTTTATGGTACTAACCAAAACAACCGTAAAGTGGAAAAAAACTTTAAAGTAGCGAAAACTACTTCAAAGGAAAATGCTTCTTATCGGCCATTTTTTACTGTACAGTACCACGTGGTAATGTAAATAATAAATTATTTTAATTGTTTGTAAATGGTTGTTTACTTTTTAATAAATAGAAATATTGTTGGTAATAGACGGTATTAATAATTAAATAAAAAATAATAATAAATATTAAGATTTTTTTATTTATAAACATTACTAAATAAATAATTTGTTTATACTTAAATATTGATGAAGCGCATTTATTTTACAAAAACTAAATTCATAAGTTCAACAGTAAAATTTAAAGGGTTTATAAATCTACCTGTCTAATTAAATATTATATTGTTATTCTGGAAGTTATAAACTACCAGTACCTATTTAATAAACGACGACATTGAAAAGCCAAGTCCCTAGTGGTTCCATTTAAAAAAGTAGGGATAGTATAATCTAATATAAGTTTGACAAAGACAGTTAATATAGAAGTAAAAACAAATAATAAAAGTAATTATAACGCTCTAGCAACGATATTGGAACGTTCTAGTAACGTAGCAGCTACGTCCAAAATAGTAGCAGGGTTGGTAGCTAGTGACATATTTGCTACCTTTTTGGAACTCAATAATTGTTCCCCACTTTAGTCGTAACGTAGTAATGAAAGAGTAATATAAAGAGACCGGCGACTGTCGCAAAACACTTTGAAGTTTCTTCAATAGTCCCATATACGTAACAAATACTTAAATTGTTGCTTGGGACTCTTTTATTTTTTTAAACTTTAAGATTAAAAACAAACAAAAAAAATACAAAGTGTAGAAAATGAATTTTTAGTTTTCGAAGAAAAAAATCATAGTGTGTCGATAGGCCACAGCATCAAAAATATTTATTTTATTTTTATATTTATTTTATATAGCTTGTTTCAAGACAAGAAAAATGATTGGTCGTTCGTCGGAATCGCTCAATTGAAAGCAAAGTTATAATCGATGATATATTGGCAAAATCGTTAAAATGATAAAAATTTAAAAAATTATATTTCATAACATTTCGTGTCGAATTCACGTGAAAATCTCCATATGTATATTTGCAAGAACATATTATTATTATATATAAACAAATTCTGACTACATTTTTAAAATCAGCTTATAAAGGAAAAAAAAGGTTAAGAAAATTAAGAAAAAAATAAGGTTCCTATATAGGAATTCGACACGAAATGTGATGAAATATGATTTATTAAATTTTCATGATATCTTACCGAAATTTTAAAAATTCCAATAAATAATTAATTTTTGATTATTAATTATCGTAGAACCTTTAAAATTAAGATTTGTGGATATTCTAGCATAATATATTATACATTATCTACAGAAAATTTGAGAAAAACAGTGTGGTGAACTAAACTGTTTGGTCTCATAAAATGGCTCAAAATATAAATAGCTGTCAACCCAAGCTATATAAAATGTCATTACGGTAAATCCTACGCACGTAAGGTGTAAGATGAAAGGTGTATGTATCTTGGGTGTAAAGGTTTTCAATTTTAAAAAAATTGAAAGTGATTTTAATGGTTATTTACGCTTGACATTAACATTCTTAAGACAGTAACCTATTTCTTAGCTCTGCAGATACATACATAATTTACCTGACCCTTACATCCCCCTTCGGCCAAGGCCATATTACCCATTAGGCAGGTAAGGCAATTGCCTTAGGCGCTACAAAAAAATAGGCGCATTGTCCCCAACCAACTTAAAAAAATTGGTACCAAATGGTTTATTTTTTCAAAAAATAAAGCAAATAAACTATAACGTATATACAATTATGAGAACGGTAGAGCGCCGAATATTCTTAACTGTTTTTATTATTTTATAAAACAGCGGCTTCCTTTGTTATAACGCGGTGTAATGCCTTACATAAAACTACAGGGAATTAAAGCTGTTTTACATTTTTTAAATACTTATTACCCAAGTAGCACCACTGGTTAAATTAACGTTATTTTGTAATAAGTGGGGAATTTAATTATGGTAAAATTAACGTTATGATAGTTAAACTTAACTTCTTGGTTAACTTTGGTTAAAAAAAAGTTAATATTTGATAGTTTTTGGTTTATTTTACCCTTTTTTAACTACTTTTTAATTCTTAAGTCAATTTAAGTTTATTTAAACCACCTATATTATATATATATATATATATATATATATATATATATAATTATAATTTACCAAATATGTTTATTTAATCTCTTGAAATGAAATAGTAAAAATTCTACTATTCCAATTAGTATCAGCAATGTTTACTAATTAGTCGTTTTTACTTTTAAATATTTATTTTTTACTATAGTATACTTAATTAGTTAAAGTTTGACTAATTTAACATAAGTCGCCATATTTTACTGTTACTGAGAGTAATAAGTAACTGATTTCTTTAATCGTTTTTAATTCTTGCGGCGTTAAATGCATCTTATAGGCTCCATGGTCCATAAAAATAAAGATGCAAAAAGTTGAGCTCCATCACAAAAAATATATTCAACTTTAAAAATAATATTAACAATATTTATTGACAGATATCATAAATTTAATAAGTAGCAGTGGTGCGTTTACTAATTTGACTGTTTCATTCCGTAGAATTTGACTAATTATAATTATAATTAGTGACTGCTAATAATTATTAGTGACTGCTTTGTCGCTATGAAAATAATTCAAATATGACTTATAATTAGTTATTTTTGACTTATTCATTT